TGCCGACTACGATGCCGGCGAAACGTTTGGGAATGTACCACATCCACGGTTCAACTTTGGAAATGATCATTTAAGACCGATGCCTGTTCTTAAGTCAAAGCTTCATTTTCACGCTTTGGCTACATATTTTACTTGTTACCGATTAATGCTATGCAGGAATGAGCGTATGAGAGAGTATTTCGTTGTTTACGCCCGCTTATGATGGTGGTAAAATTCAAAGTCTTAGTAATTCATAGTCCAAGACAATAGGAATAAAACCGCCTTAGGCATGGAAGACGGCCACGGGGTCGTCAGTCAAGCGGACTGGCTGACAAGGCGCTAAGGTATATAGCGATGCTGTCAGGTATTATTAGCGCTAAGCGCTTCAACGATACCCCATTTTTATCATAGGGATTTTTGTTTTACAATTTTCTTTATATTATATTAAATTTATCTACATCTATACTAGATCTGGGCTAGCGAATTTTTGCCCTCTTTGGCGGCACGTCGTAATGAGAATCAACTTATCTACTCACGAAACCACTCGGGGGCCTGTCTTCTCATCGACTACATCTCACGCGAACTCGCCAATGCAGGCGACTCTCAACCTCCCACCTCAATCTTGCCCTCTGGAGCTAATAAGGAGGAAGACAAAACTTTAGTAAGGATGGCGCTTCTTCCACCAGAACTATTAAGTAAGGAAACAAAGACCGAAGTTATTACTTCATCACATCGTACCAATCAAAGTGCCTCTACCTCCGACCTCCTTATTGAGACGCCTTCTAATATTGTGGTCTGCTCTACACTCTCTACTGGTTGTTCTGTGCGCGTCATCTATGCCAATCTCGATTGGGTCTGTCTGGTACCATGGTGGGCCGTTTGGCCCTTCGAGACGCTCCTGGTACCTCGCCGTCACGTCGGGCGTCTCGACGAACTTACTTTTGAGGAGCGTAATCAGCTCGCTAAGCTTCTTAAACTTCTGCTAACTGGCTATGATGCTCTTTTCCAGACTAATTTTCCTTATTCCATGGGCTGGTATCAGGCTCCTATCTTGCCAGGTAAGTGGACTAACCGATTGCCATATTTGCTGCCAAAGCACCTGCCTTAATAATTTTTTCCATATTTTAGACGTGGCCTCTCTTTTGGTCGCAGTCTCCTTTCGTTGTATATAAGTGGTTTGACCTCGCTTTCGCGACTTGGTCGTGTTGTCATGGCGACCTAGATGGACGCATCTTACCCGAAGTCCTCTGCTGTTTTAGTTATGATAATTCCCAGTGTTGGACCGTGGGTTTGGTACATTTCCAGACGTTTCGCTGGCAGCGTCAGTGCGTCTTGTGGTTCTCAGGACCAAGCTACAACTTTCTAAAGAGACAAGTAAAATTAATCCTTTGGCCAGCCTTCTGTCGAACGGTTACACTATCCCCTTTCTGTCCTGGCCCTTCTAGTTGCTTCTTACCCCCTTATCCCATTATCACCTTATCACATCTGAATTATTTATATTCCACTCATCAAAAGTTGCGCCATTTTTTGACGATTTTAGTGTGGCGTCACTCCACTTGTTTACTTTGTTTCCCTCTCGATTTGTTGATTCGACAATCTGGATCCCTCTCATTGGCCATAAAATCCGTTTCTTTTCTTTCTAGTTGACTTATTTCACTCGATTCTAGTCCAAGAATACGTTTCACTTAGGGCGCTCCACCCTTAACAAATTGTTGACGTTTGAATCTGGTCGTCTGCTGCCTCTCGAATGAATTTCTAGCTAATTTAGCTATATTTCCGAATTTCTGTTGCGATTGCGACTATCCATCTCCCTATTCCTGTGACCACCAGGCCCCCAAAGTTGTAGCTGTTTCTTCGAACAGATTACGCTCACTAAAGACTTTATCACTTGATTTCCAAAAGTTTTTTATCCGCTTCTTTTTTGCGATCTCTTTTCCTCTGATCAGCGACAGGTCCTTGATTGGCACGTCTCTTTTTTGCTGCTCTTGCCGTATCCTTGTTTTCTCCGAGTTTGCCTATACACTATGCCAAATTATCGATAATTCTGCCTTCTTCCAGTCTCCTGTTCATTTAATTTCTTTCTGCCAGGATGTCAATAACTCCCCTAATCTTCCGTTTCCTTGTATTTTAACCGTATGAAGCTCTTCTTTCTTTTGCCTCCCACTTGATCTCGTGTCAAATCCGTATGATGTGTTACGCTATTTCTGCTTTTTCGGTATCTATTTTTCTACAGAGTCTTTTATGTTTTGTAATTCGTATGCTGATTTTTCTTCTTGCTTCGCCAATATATTTCTGCCTGCAGGCACCGCATGCTGTTCAGCAAGCTCACGATCAATCCAATTTATCCACCAAATATTGCATGGATAAACTAGCAAGGAGTGTTGTTTTTTCTTTCTTGGTCACGTGAATAATCCTTTTTCCTAATATTGGCTTCTTTCTATTACTCTTCTATGGCATCTGCTGCAGAGAAATATCTGAGTCATTTTGTTCAATTCCTTATCCCAGAATCATTGGCTTCTGATGATCGTGCTGCTTATTAGTCCAATCCTTAGTCTTTAGCCTGAATTAGACTGGAAATTGAGTATGATTTCGGCATATGACTCCTTTCTGAATAATTTCCTCTTGATCGTTGGGTCGTAGGGCTGGTGGACGCAGGATTATGTAGATGTATAATCACAACCGCCACAGAAATTCGGCATTATGACCAGATGGACTAGAAATCCACTTGATAGTCAGCTGGCGACCAGGGATAGGCATCCACAGTTTGTTCAGGGTACAAGTGCTAAAGTAAGGGGATGACCCATGAAGAAAATGCTTGCTATCTGCAATCATGGAAATCAGCGCCTAGGCACTAAACTCGATGAGGTGACAGTGTACGTGCTACTGAAGACTTGAGAAATAGTGCCTTAAGTAAAACGTATTCTTTGGCTGGAACAGGGAAACCAGTCAACTATGAAGATAAGAAACGGATTTATGGGCCAATCAGAGGGGTCTGGTTAGGGGGCCCAAGTCGGATCAACAGATCGAGAGGGAGGAGGGCAGGTCAAACTACATACTAAACTCGTCAAAACAAGGCACAACTTTTGAGGAGTGGAATATAGACAAGTTGTGATAGGGTGATAGTGATCTAAGAGTTTAGGGAGTAGATGGAAGGGCCAGGATAGAAGTGATAGCATAACCTTACGACAGAAAGCTTGTTAAAGGATTGACTCTTGCCTCTTGAGGATTTGTATTTTGATGCTGAGCGCGGCAGACCAACTGACGATGTCGGAAAACGCCAGGGAATGTACTAAGTCTACAGTCTAATTCTGAGAATTATCATAACTACAGCAACAGAAGACTTCAGACGAGGTGACATCACGACTAAATTTCGAAAACTAGGTTAAGCCACCTATAAGAAAAAGTTTGATCATAAGAATCTCTACCAGCCCTTAAAATGCTATATATAGTGTGATTTTCTTGTACTTTTGAAAATCTTTTGAATGCAACTTTAATCCTTTTTTAATTCTGGAACTACATAGTTTTTTTAAAGAGCCCCGCAAGCTATGTTTACTTGAGAGGCTTTTATTTGCTGTTGGTTGCTACACCATATTTCAGATACTAAAATGCTTACATTTTTTAGACACGCTTTTTCAATCTCATGTAAAGAATAAGACAAACCTAGAAGTTTAGAAAGGCAATGCTTTTTTATAAGCCTATTGCTTCTTTGATACCAAATTTAGCCCCACTCATATCTTCGCGGCAAATATGTCCCGTAATATATATGTTGGCAGCTGCATGCCTTCTAAAGAAGAAAAGCGAAAAACAAATTAATAATTTCTCTTAAAGCTTTCGTTTTCCCTACTTTTATGCTTGGCGCTCATGCAAAGCTTCTTTTATTCTTAGGTTGATGCATCTCTTACAATACCCCCTATCCTGAACAATTATTTTTCTCCTTTTTCAGGTTTGACCATGGACCACTGGCAATTACATGCCGTATTTTATCCGCCATTGCTGCGCTCATCCTCTGTACGTAAATTCATGGTTGGATATGAACTACTAGCTGAGGCACAACGGGATCTCACCCCAGAAAAGGCGGCGGAAATACTTCGTAGCCACATTAATCCGAAATGAAATACCTCCACCTTACCCTATTCTATGCTTAGTTGTACCTGTTTGTAAACACTTAATGATGATTATTTGTGCCTATATTTTTACTAACCTACTAAGCGTATGATTTTTCTCTTTATTTATTAGTTTACAGTTATAGCATTCACTTATTAATTCTCATGGATTGTCTTGCTTAAAATTAATTTCGTTTCTGATTAACCAAACTTAACGTTTGTTATTCTTATTAGGCATATTATTTCATCTCCCAACTCAATGACGGAGATGAGTTATCATTTGCGCCATTTATCTCGGAAGTGAGTTCTCATTAGGTTTGGTTGCATCTTTTGCCTTGCCCAGGTCTAACTGTCGCCTCCTTTAAGAGCTGAAACTATAGCACTGCTTAGAACAGGTTTTTTGTTTCATCAGATCCTGGGGCCATTGTTACGACAAGCAAGCATAGAGCAACCAAGGCTTTTCTTAACTGGCGTATTTGATTGGGCTAAAATGAAAACTTGGATCCTCAGTATTATTGTGTTGAATGTTTAGCTACGCATTTCCAAGTTTCTAGAACCTCTTCTTTCATTTATTCAATTATTCCTAAAGCTAAACAAGGGCTTTCTGATAACTTATCTTTTTATTTATTAATCATTCAATGTG